AAGGTAAATAAGGCTCGTATTCGAGGCAGCAGCTCGCGCGTCAGGCAAGTTCCTGAACAATTATTTGTTAGACGGCCCTGACTTGTTACGGAATTTACCGGTTATACAGTTCCGTCTTCGTGATAATAAGATAGCAGTGTCCGCGGATATTATAAAAATGTTTCTGCGTATTAAGATCAACCGCCGCAACCAACCCGCGCAACTATTTTTATGGCAAGGAAACGAACATAAGATCTACCTCGTGAATACGTGATGACTTTAATATTTGGAGCGAGGAGCTCACCTTTCCTCGCGCACATTGCTGTGGAACGCACGCGCTTACGCTGAGACACATTCGCGTGCCCTTAACGCTATAGTAAATAGTCATTACATGGACGACTACCTAGATATTCTTACGATAGTTACGCGACCTTACAAGTTAGCAATCGAAGCGGCTAAGGTAGATTACCGAAATGCATGGAAAAGCAGGCTTCACTTTGGCTAGATAAACTGGAAGAAATGCTGGCATGTAAGCCCAAGTAGATAGGATCGACTCAGGATGGCCCCGAAAGGACGCCTAAGAATAGGGTGCCGCACTAGGTGAAGGTGCAACACCACCCACCGATCAAGTGGGAGGCGCTGGGCGCGGTCATATCTATTTTTAACTTACTCGGACTGCTCAGCTATCTCATGACCACAGTGAAATCCTGCTGCAGGAACTGTGGTGGATGAAGAGGATCGAGCGGGACTATGAGATTGCCGTGGAGGTAACGAACGAATTTATGAAATGGTTGAGAGCCATCGACAATACAGAGTAAATTATGGCGCATTAACGAGAAATAAGAGGTACACAGTACATGCCAGATATAAGAAGATTTTTGTCATACGAAAATTTGATAAGAGCCACTGATTTGACACCGCTCGACGGCGAACTCAAAAATTTGTACAAGAACATATTAAGAAGACAGAGTGGCTATGAATAGTACGGAGTCAGCAGGAAAGCTTCGCTGACGATATCAACTGGCTCTGTCTAGGTCAGAACTTACGCAACGGCAGCGCATTAAAGAAGCTCGACTTGATCATCAAACAGGATCAACGCAGCCGCCGTGAACAAACATTTGAAGCAACCGACCTTTAAAGAACGAGTGGTCAACTCTGTAGATTACATATGAGATACCACATAATCCGACTGCGACCGACGGTTCGAGAGATCGAAAGAAGGTGCATGCGCTGTAGAGTTAGGATAGCGAAACCATGACCAGCGGTTGCAGAAGACTTGCCTCCCGAAAGCTTAAAAGCGTTCACACGACCATTCACGTTTAGTGGGTTGAACTATTTCGGGCCGTAAACTGTAACGATAGGGTGACGGGATGGAAAGAGATGGGTTGCATTATTTACCTGTCTAACGACGCGCACGGTGCTTATTGAATTGATACACAGTTTAACGGGCCATGGAGGGGTGGGAACCGCTACTGAAGATCTTCGCGCTGACACATCGCACCAAAATTAAATTCATCGCACCGGTTTCACGGATGAAAACAGCTAGAATGGTCCATTAACCTTTCAAACGGCAAGCTTCCAAATTTGACCGCTTCGATATTCCGTCAACATTCAAGAGGTCAAATGTGACCGCAGCCACCCACAGCAATTTTGCTATCGTATAGTGGAATAAAAAGTCAGTTAGCTTATAGATATTTATTTATAATCTACGTTCATTTCATACGCCATTTTTTGTGAATGTTATTGTGTTGATTTTTGGATTTTTCTAGTGTTTTATTATAAAATTATAAGCAACGTTTTTGTGTTAATATAATTAATGTTTTGACGTAAATAAATTCGAGTAATATATACAGAAATAATTGTGATTTTCACGCTGACGACATTCGCTTGGTATGTATTTATTTTTTTGTTTTCAAAATACAATAAAATCTTTTAGTAATGAACTAAAACCTGACTTTTGTTTAGACTACAGGATAGAGAATTTTATATGGATTTTATAATGCCCAAATTCTTCACATAAAAGGATTCTCTAAATATAAGTTTTAATGGATTAAAGTGCTGTGGGTGGATACGGTCGCATGCGACCGCTCGGGATATGCCAGACGCATGCGACTGTGTGGGATTTTTATGGGGATTGAAGGGGTAAGAAGGCGCTAGAGGCAACCCTCTATCAGAAGAGCCCCAAGGAAGAAATACTTACAAAATTGTTAGCTGAGGCGGAGAATACAGTAAATTACCATACCTCTTACTCATTTGCCAGTTGGAAGGAATGACGAGGAGGCCCTAACCCCCAACCACCTTCTCCTGTTGAAACCTTTCAACGTTCCTGTCACCGTGACGTGCTCATCGGCGGATCGCCGGACCTGGGGAGCTGCGCAGGGACTGGCAGACGAGTATTGCCGACGCTGGGTGCGACAGTATCTCCCGATCCTTGTATTCCTAGGAGAATGAGGAACGCCAACAACCACCGATAAAAGAAAATGACCTCGTGATCAAACCTCTCTAGAATCCTATGGCCAGGAGGAAATATCACGAATACCTTTTTAGGAATGGACGGGATAGTCAGGAACGTCGAAACCAGAACACGAGGTGGCCTGCTGCAGAGAAGATGAAGTCTCGTGACCTACACCGGGTGGAGAATGTTACGTATGGTGAAAGGAACCACCGCTAAAATGGGTTACATCACACAGTTTTGCGTGAAGCGTCGTAGCTAAAAATAACCTAACCTTTAATTTGTCGTACATTTATTTACTATAAAATTCATCATAAAGGAGACAATCAATTTTTCTATGGAGAATGGGCCCACTACAAATTTTAAAGATTATCAATGAAATGCATGTCGATTCATCCATTCGATCCTTTTAAACAATAGATTACAATAATACTCGTATTAGTTTTACTGCATCTAAACGAAGTCCTGAGAAATTAACAAATAAAATGTGAATCTAACAATAACCTAAAAACAAACTGAAAGCGAATTTTAGTAGTATTCATCGGTATTTTAAGTTAAAATAGTGCACACTTGAATTATAGTACATATAAAACTAAGCTTTAGGTATATTCAGCATTTATATTTTAAAATCGATGTAAAACCGTTCAATAGTTCAAAAACATAGTGCCTGTCTGTGCACAAAAGTCGTGTGGATTCTATTTTTGACATGTATCGATGGATTGTGAGTGTAAATGCTAAATACCAAGATGGCTAAGGGATAATGTCTATTTATATTTATGATATTACCAACAAAATGCAAGAAATATGTTTTAAACTGCAAAGAACAAAATGTAATGTAGGTAACCCTATTTATTATTGTAAATCACAATTTATTTTAGTATTCTATTAATAGTAGTAGGTACAGAAACAGAAACCTTTTATTCAATTAAGATTATAAATAATACTTATTGAAAGTCACTTTTTTATTTTACCACTGGTTCGGAAAAAAAATTTTACTTGAAGCGAACCAGCAAAATACCCAGTGGGTCTTTTAAAAAAAAAGCCAGCTTACAATCATCTATGTCATAATTAACAACACAGAACAAATTAGAAATAGCTTGGTAGCGATCACCTTACCCACGGGTTATTGTAATCCATAAATTCCTTTATACTATGATAACCACTTTTATACAAACTTAGTTTAATAATTTTTTTGAACTTTGATGATTTAATGACTGATAATAGGAGCGGCGTCAAGACTTTGTTTTAATATGTTTTGGTTGATTCGTAAGTAGTATACATCATAATAAAATTACTGGGAATTAACATGCTTATCTATGTTATTACACAATGATAAATAGTGAGGAAGTAAGATGTTTTAAACCGTTTGTGTAAGGATTTCAAAAACACAGGCTTAATTTAAATGTATTTATTACTAGCGATGCGCCTCAGCTGTGCACTGGTGATTTATGGATATCGACAACAGTACCATCTACCGGGTCCAAATGTAAATATAAACTACCTAGGGATCCATATAAACACACACAAACATTTTCATTGAAATTGCTTGTATGGTTTCTTACGTTTTGTCTATAATGGACATGGGTAGAAACATTTTAGTGTTAGATATATTTCTGAAGGTTTTTTGAAAATAACTTGATGGTAACATGTAAATTTAAGATATTGTAAGCGATCAGAAGGGCATTTTCAATGATAAGAGATATGATATAAGACTGTTGTCTTCAATATCCGTACATATTTTGTCTCTGCAAACTTTCAGCCTGCAAGGCATACAGATTTGTTCTAGGCGATCCATCTGAAAAGAAGTTAAAGAAAATTGTAAAGGTGTCTTAACTAAATAATAATTCTTATCAATATACTATTTTTATTTATTATATAGGAATTAAAAGGACATTTTTAATAATAAGAGATATGAGATAAGACTATGCCTTCAATGCCAATAAACTGTATTTACATATTTCTGTGAGCATTTTTCTTATATCTGCCTATTCAAATGTTAAATAATAAAGAAATTATTATAAATTATATCAGCTCCAGCTGATCAAATACAGAAGCAGTAATTATTGATTAACATCAATGATATTCAACTATGTAAAAGTTGTCTTACATTTTATTTTCACTGATTTCGTGTACATAGGAGACAAAGATATTATTGTTATATTAAATATATATGATTCTAGATTAATATTCCTTTATATAATATTCCTTTCTGCAGAGTGAACAACACAGCTGTCTAAGCATAATAGATACAACCATTACACTTTTTTACGCAAACTATTATTATTAAACTTTATATTTGCATCTAGTACAAATGATTACTACATTTTTACACATAAATATATGTACCATTTATCATACGCCGTGTGGAGTCAATCTTGCGCAGACGTGTAAAATACGAACAGTTTAGCTTGGTGAATGCGTGCACTCTAAATAGGACCTTAACTAGTTGGTGACTGAGTTCGCCTTTGTGTGTCTTGTGTGTGCAGTGATAAATAGCCTGCGCATCTCTTGTGAATCGCTTACAACGCTGTGCTTGAAAAGGCAAGCTATATTACATCTTGCTGCCGTAATGCAACGTACACCGCCATCGGCTACTTTTAAATGTGCATCCAACCCCGATATTCCTAACTCAGCGCTTAATATCCGAGATACTGATTACTTTGTCGGCCTACGTAAGCGTAAACAACCCGAATCGGATATAGCGAGCTCCGTAGTGGAGGTTGTCGAGCAAAAAATAAATGAACAGCTTGCAGCTTGGAAGAATCGGCTGGACACAAACATCGCTGAAACCATAAGAAACGCTGTTGACGCGACACTTGAGCACGAAATGAGTAAATTAATCTCGTCTATTAGCAACTCACTGAAAGATATAACTACTAGACTGGATGACATAGAAAAATCTATCACCTACTCAGGTGAAAGACAAGATAATTTTGAGAGTCGATTGAAGTTATTTGAAGAAAAAGTTGTTGCGGGTAGCACCGTGAATTCCCAAATTGCCGCCTTAGAGAATAAAATTGAATCAATGGAGCAACAGGCAAGGCAATAAAATATCGAGATTGCTAATCTCCCGGAACGCCGTAACGAAAATCTTATAACCTTATTAGAGAAAATAGGTACAATAATAAAACATCCTATCAAGGCCACAGACATTCTCTCCGCTCATCGTGTACCCCATTTTGATCAGAAAAATCAACATCCCAAAAATGTGATTGTTAAATTATCCTCTAAAATATTGCGAGACAACATAGTTCTGGCGGCGAGGGCAGTAAGAGGAGTCAGATCTGACCAACTCTCAATCTCTGGCACTCCGTGTACCATTTATTTAAATGAACACCTGACTCCAAAAAATAAACAATTATTTCGTTTATGCCGTGTCGCTGCGAAAAAGCATAATTATAAATATACTTGGATTAAGCATGGTACTGTACTTGTTCGCCAAACCGATTCATCACCAATATTTGCAATACGTAACGAACAAGACATTGATAAGATCAAGTAGTAACGTCAATAACAATTTGCATTTTTTGTTTTATCGTGTAAAAATATATATATCGGTATCACGGTTAAAAAAAATAATAAGTCTACCCTATGTCTATTGTTATTTACCCCGTGTCTCTTGTTTGTGCGAATTGCAAATAATAATAATTTTAGTTGTGTGTTCCTATACTGAAAATAGTGCATTAATCTGTTATGATAAAGCATGTCATAAATATCACAGTATGTATTATAATAACTTGTGCGGTTTTAATCTGAGTTATAACCATGAAGTGGAAAATAATTTATGTTTGATGGAATTTTGGAAAACGGTACAAAACATAGCACTTAATTATTTTAGTAAAAATTATTTGGCAACAGTCTCAATAATGGTATATTACATTAATTATATCTCTCAAATTTCATAGGAATTATTCATTCAAAATGGCTAATAGTTATTTAACACTGTACTACCAAAACTGCAGAGGACTTAAAACAAAACTACACACTCTTTACACTAATGTTATCTCCAGTACCTACGACATAATAATCTTAACAGAAACTTGGTTGCGTAACGACATCTCCGATAGTTAATACATTGATTCTAGGTATCAGGTGTTTAGGATGGATCGGGACCGATCGACCAGTGGCCGGCGGGATGGAGGTGGCGTGCTTGTTGCCGTGTCGCGAGCGCTCTGTGCTACTGCACTTGCGCTGCCCGCCGCCGACGTACCCCTCCCACCTCTTGTTGACCAGTTGATGATTCAACTCAACATAGGAAAACGTAAACTGATTATTTGCGCTGTGTATATCCCACCTAAACAGAACTACGACACATACCTTGCTTATTTAGACGTTTTAAACAGCGCGGTGCACGATTTAGATACTGACATTTATATAATAGGTGACTTTAATCTGCCTAGTCTAAAGTGGGAAAATAAAGGCATTTTCACTCAACCAATTATGAATTCTGATATAACTCCAACGCACAGATACTTAATTAACTTTATGTTATCACTTGAATGTTATCAGTTGAATTCGTTAAAAAATAAAACAAATAATATATTAGACTTATGCATCAGTAATAATATAAATAGCAAAACTTCTCCTGTACAATTACCTTTGATTCCACCAGATGGACATCACCCTCCGTTCCAGGTAGTTGTATCTTTTGTTGAGGAACTCAAACGCTTAAAAAACAAAAACTATCTTAAATATTGTTACAAACACGCGGACTATGCAAAAATTAATGAAGAAATAGCAAATACTAATTGGAATCTTCTCTTCATGGAAAAAGAAGTAGAGGAGGCAGTTTCTAATTTCTATGAAAGGATATATGCAATAATAAAAAAACATGTGCCTACAAAAGTTATTAAATCGTCACTTTTTCCTAATTGGTTTACTCCTGCACTTATCAATTTATATAAGAAAAAGGAGCGTGCCTGGATACAAATGAAAAGATATAATACGGAATCAAATTACTGTATTTTTGCTATACACAGAAAACAATTTAAAGAAATGTCGGATCGGCGTTATAAAGCTTACCTCAAACATGTAGAACACAGTATAAAAAATAACATTAAATTTTTCTGGACATACATTAATAATCGTAAAAAGAACTCAGATATACCCAACAAAATGCACTACAAAAACGTAACTGCCAATACACTTCTGAAGTATGTAGTCTTTTCTCGACGTTTTTCCAATCAGTATTCGAACCTTCTTCTGTACCAGACAACTTTGAAATTAAAGATATTAATATAGATGACCGTCAAACGCCTGATACCTTAATCTGTTGTCCTCAATTAAAGTGCTTGATGTTAATAAAGGTGCTAGAGTTGATAACATTAATGCCTATTTCTTGAGACAGACTGCTGATACTATTGATGAACCTATATGCTATTTATTTAATAAATGTTTACGTGATGGTGTCTTTCCTAAGATCTGGAAATCAGCCAGAATCGTCCCTGTATATAAAGGAGGATCCAAGAAAGACGTAGAAAATTATAGGCCTATTTCTATTTTGCCTACCCTGTCGAAGCTTTGCGAAAGATTAGTACATAAAGCTATTTACCCATGTCTCCATAGTTCCATTGTACAGCAACAACATGGATTCGTTGAGCGTCGTTCCACGATCACTAATCTACTTATTTATACAACGGATCTCTTTGAAGGACTAGATACAAATAAACAGATTGACAGCGTGTACACTGATTTTCGCAAAGCTTTTGACAGGATGGATCATAAAATCCTCCTTCAAAAGATAGCCTTTAATGGTATACGAGGAAACCTTTGGAGATGGTTTAAATCTTACATATCGAATAGAACTCAAAAGGTCGTTATTAAGGGATTCGAATCTCCATGTGTAAATATAAGCTCAGGTGTATCACAGGGTTCCATTCTTGGCCCTCTACTATTCGTATTATTCATTAACGATATTAATAAATGTTTTGATCACTGTAAGTTTCTTTTATACGCAGATGATTTAAAGATTTACAAGATTATTAACACTTTAGACGATCATGTTAAACTCCAAAATGACCTGAATCAACTCTCTTTATACTGCAGTGAAAATAAACTTGAACTGAGCATTAATAAATGCAAATCCATAACTTTCACAAGAAAGAGGAATTTTAGTAATTACTATTATTCACTTTGCGGAATAACCTTAACAAAAGAAAACACTATTAAAGATCTTGGAATCACACTTGATAGTAAATTACATTTCGATGTACATATAGAGAACATTATTAATAAAGCATTTAGAATGTATGGGTTCGTCATTAGGTCAGGTGTTATGTTTAAACAAACTTCTACATTCTTATATTTATTTAAATCATTGATACGTTGTCAGCTAGAATACGCTGTATCAATATGGAATCCACTTTATGAAAAATACAATTATATGCTTGAAAGGATACAAAAGAAATATCTTCGATACATACATTTTAAATGCCACCGCAAACGATTGTCGTATAATTTGTTACTAAAAACATACAATTTAATCGATCTTAAATCTAGACGCACACAACTTGAAGTAATGTTATTACATGATCTTACTCATAAAAGATATGACTCTATAGAAATATCAAACAAACTTTGTTATAGCGTACCTCCTCGATCATTAATGAGGTCTACACGTCCGCATAGATTGTTTGCAACCTTATCCTGCCGAACGAATGCGGGCATTCGTTCTCCACTTCACCGTATGGCCAAAACATACAATAATATTTTCAATGATATCGATATTATTGCATTACGACATACATCTTTCAAGAAATTAGTCATTGATAGGCTTGGCTTAGTAACACATAAAAAATTATTTTATTTTCTTTCTGTATATCGCAAGCTTGGTTGTAGATTCATGTACCTGCCAAACACGTCTCCGAACCCAAGGTTGCAGCTGCTGTAGGGCAGCCAGGCTTGTGATGCCTTGTCTATTTGGCACTGTCTAGACATCCAGCTCTGATTGTTCACATAACTCATCGAAATCACACGCAATAACACATACACACCTACCTCCACTCTTAAACACACAAACACACGCACACACACACGCATGCACACACACACACATGCGCACGTGGACTCACGCACGCGCGCGCGCGCGCACACACACACACACACACACACACACATGTATTAATAATGTTTATTAGTTACTTCATGATTTCTCAACTAGTTAACTAACACTTGTTATAATGTAAGATGAGCTCCACTTTAACACTAGATTATATGTATAATGAGACCAGCGCTGTTGGATTCATAATGATAATTACGTTTCTTTGTTTTGAATATTTTATATATATTTAATTGTGAATCTGTTTGTGGTCCTTTAAATAAATGAAAAAAAAAAGAAAAAAAATTATATTGCCTATCTACTATGGCTGGTATAAATCCAAGATCCGTGTCTGGCCTAACAAAAAGGCCATTCAGTATTAAGCAACTTGCTGAATACATAAGGTACCTATTTGTACACAAATGCAGTTATATGAATTGCTCTTCAATACCCTCTTTAATTCCCTCGACCCAAAGATTCTAATTTTCTTGTAATATTATAATAACTTCTTTTGTGCATTTGTTCTATTTATTATTTAATTTAGATTTTACTAATAACATAAACTTAATACCTTGTCACTTTAACAAAATAATTAGGTCTGTTTGTTATTTGTATTTGTTTTAGGTAAAATCTAAAAATTTAATAATAGATTTTCATAACCTAGAATAGGTGTAAATTAATAATCTCTTATATTAATTAACCTAAACTCGTCAGTTTTATTTGCTAATATTACAACAAAAAATAAAAAGAGAAAAACATACGTACTGTGTCTGGTGGAGCGTCGAGCCTAAGGTTGCCGAAGTCTAATTCCCCGGTTGAACCTTAAACCCTATTACGCGAGCTATTAATCTAAGTGGACTGTATCTACAAAATGTTTCTACACTTATATAAACGGCGACTATAGCATGCGGTACAATGCACTCGCTCTTCCCTAAAAACGAACTATTATTTGCCAAATCGATGAAAGGAATCCTGCTTGATTAGGAGCGGTTGTGACACTGACGAAGGTTCGA